ATAAAAGGCCCTCCAAAAATAGAAAGATTTCTCTTCAATAGTCTTGAAAGCATTCTTATTCATAAAAACATTTCTTGAAATAGAAACTATTCAATTATTTAAACATGCACTGAATCACCCATTGAGAGGGGGAAAAGAAACTCACTACTTTTTGCAATCACTTTCTACAACATGAATACAAACATATTCTGCCTTAATTTAAAATTGGCATGAATTCTTGAAGTATATCATGACTCTCTTTTAGCTTTGCCTCCATGTAAATACAAATATGGACCCTACAGTGACCTGTCCCCTATTTGCTGTATAATAAATTGGGAAGGAAAAAAACCAACTCAGTTCAGTAAGAACCGAGAATAAACATGCATTATTGTGTGTGTCCTCATTCTGTCATCTCCTAAATAAATATAGTAGATATTCATAGTCTTACTCACAACCCATAAAAGATCGATTTCCAAATTACAGAATGTTTCTTCTCCATAAAATTTTAGTTAAAGCTGCATCATAGCTGACTCACTTGGCTTTTTATTATATGTAAATTAGTTTCAAAAAACTAATAGTCTGTGATAGTGATGGATGATGCTCACTGGCAGTCAGTGATATAATAGATGAGACCTGTTGCCAAAAAGTGACCATATTATCCAGGAGAGTATAAGGACATGTTTCCCAGGTCCTCCAAACTGGGAGCCTCACAAAAGTCTCTTTCGGCAAGGTACCTTACGGGTGGGAACTAATCCACTGGCCAGTGAATTTGTTTTCTAGAATCGTCGTAACTAAATACCACCACTGGTAGGTTTGAACAACAGATATTTATTGCCTCATGGTTCTGGGGGCTGCAAGTCACCAGGGTTGGTTTGTTCCAAAGACTCTGAGAGATGTGTCTGTGCTTATTTCCTTGATTCTGATGGTTTACTGGCAATCTTTGGCATTCCTTGGCTTACAGACCCAGCACTATGGTCTCCATCTTCTTGTTCACATGGCCGTCTCCTGTGTACATCTCTTTATATGGCATTCTTTGTATAAAGGTACCAGTCATTTTGGATTAGGGACATACTCTACTCCAGTATGACCTTGCCTTACCTAATTACCATCCACAATGATCCTTTTTCCAAATTCTGAGGTACTGGGGTTGAGGACTCAGCATACCTTTTCGGGGAACACAATTCAATCCATAACAGGCAGAGAGTCCAAAAATAGAAGGAGGTCAACATACTGTTTTCTTTAGGTCAGCTAGTAAAGATCTGCTTTCTGATTTTATACAAATATATTGGTATTTGTTCTATCTACAGCAGAAGAAAGGGTCTAAATTACAGTCCTCATAGGGGTTATAAATGGTATAGCAGTTAGAATACTGCTCTCAACTATTCTAACAACAAAATGTAACAGTTGAAAATAAGGTGGAAATTTATTTTCTCTTCACTGAACCATCTGAGAATAAGCAGTCAAGGAATGATTTGATTATCACGTACTATCATGGACTCAGGCAAATAGTGGGGTGGTAGGTTGTCTATTCTCTGAATAGTGTTGAGCCAATACCCCAAGCTTCTAGTTTGCTTATTATCTTAAAATACAGCCAGAAATTTGAAAAAAGAAAAACAGAGATTGGGAATTATGCTTGCCAATGTACTTTGAAATTCATGTGGGTGGATCAGTTTTTTCAGCACTTATAAGTACTTATAAGATATAGGATACATTTCTGGAACTCCATCCAAAGGGAGAGAGTGGTCTTTATTGGCTACACTTAACAACTCAGCAGGTATGAAAAAGCAAAAGGAACTCAAGATTTGAAAACATGAGATGTACAGAAGCAAAGGAGTCTCTAAAATTCAATTCCAAGAACAGTCCACGAAGACAAATGGATGGTATCTAATATCACTGCAGACTGAGAACCAAAATCAGTTTCCTTGGGTATAAAACATGTCTTCTACCAGTATAGCAAAGGGGAAATACATTCAGGCATATTTATAATGACAAGTTTCATGGAGAAAAAATGCTAATACAAATTTAAGACCAAATTGCTTTTATGAGGGCAAAGTTCAATGCTGCATTTCTGACCACTCCTCCCTTGCAATCTAACTACAGCCTTGATAAACTACTTGATATTCCCTCTACCTGGAATAGTCTACTCTTACACACATGCAATTATGTGCATCACACAGGCACACACCCCTTTACCTTCCTCCTAGCTAATACTCTTTAGGTCTTAGCTTAGATGTCACTTCTTCCACGAAACCTACTGCAATATCACTTTCCAACCTGATTTACATATAATCTACCACCATTTGTTCCATCTCTTAAAAAGAAAAAATGGCTCAAGTGTCTACACCTCTCATTAGAAAATAATGTCCCAGGTGCAATTATTAATTTATTAAACATTCTGTTGAATACTGACAATTTACATAATACTGATTGCAAATATAGATGGATCAGTCAGTACTTTTTAAAGAAGTCATAGCATCCTTAACACACCAGAGTAGACAGAGTACAACAAATAAAACACAGACACTTTGACATCAGAAACAAAATCTTCAAAAGAATTCTCCCACACATTCAATCATCCTTTATACATTCTCCACCAATTTTCATTTTCTCCATGTGCTTTGGCTCCAATGAGCCACTCCCAGCAACAGCCCCAGACACCGACTGGATCTGTTTTTATGTGGACAGATCAGATCAGCATCTATGTGCTGTTTTTCACGTTCAAGTGAATAACTATAATATCTGTAATGTAGGGATCTTGTTTTGTTTTTACTTACAAACTGCAGAAATGGAACTTCAGTTGGAAGAGATGGCAGCTAGTGAGAAAACAGGTTTCTGGCGGTTACATGTGGCCAAGAGCACTGGTGTCAGAGGATGGGGTGCAGAAGGATCAGTAGGCTGCTTATGGAATAGAATAGAATGGCTGCTTTGGCGCAGCTGCAAGTAAACAGCAAGAAATTCCAGGCTGATTGAGAAAAGTTTCAATGGGAGGCATGGAGATGGTGGGAAATAATTAAAAAGCTCTTCTGAGTCATAAGAAATACTTTTAAAAACATTATCATCAGCTGTAACATAATTTGTCTTTCTGAGGTCAACTACTTTCAGAAGCATCTGCTCTTTTAGGTCTCTGAATTTTTATCCTAAATAGTGTGGTGTCATTAGGAAAAATGATCACTACCCATTGAAATCATAATTAGTTAATTCTCCATAATTAACTTGCACATTAACAGCCCCTAGAACAGCAGTCCCCAAACTTTTTGGCACCAGGGACTGGTTTAGTGGAAGATAATTTTTCCATTGACCAGGAAGAGGGGATGCTTTCGGGATGACTCAAGTGCATTGCATCTCTTGTGCACTTTATCTCTATTATTATTATATCAGCTCTACCTCAGATCATCAGGCATTAGATTATGGAGGCTGCAGACCCCTGCTCTAGAGCACTGATTCATCGAAAAATATTCCAGGTTCACTCTAATACAAAATAGCATCTTTAAGTCTTACATATATAGATGTAAATATTACTATTGATATCATTATTATTTTCAAACTTGAAAGTTATTTTTTAAAGAAAAGTTGATTTTTCCAAAAAATGCTAAAGCATTTATACCCATACTAAAGCATGACTCAGCTTTGAGAAATTTATTTTGCAACCTGGGAGCTCCTAGCTAACTTGGATAATTTTAAATGCAATTACTACTTTCAGGCAACCAATGTCAGACTGTCATAGCTTATTCTCTGGGACATTAGACTGGATATTTCACAATATCCAAAAATAGCTTTCAAAACAGGTTTCTCCAAATTGCCTGGAGCCTCAGTTTACTCCCTAATTAGAATACTCAGCAAAGGTGATACACAAGATGTGACTTGAAGATTATTGATTTTTCAATGCCTCCCCAGAATTTACACATTGAATTGAATATTTTCTCCTTTGAAATAGTGACCTTTTGACACTTATACATTCATCCTGAATATGATCTAATTGTCAGAGCCACACTAGAACAGTGCTGGGTATGAGAATATGCCTTCATAAATATTCTAAGATTGAACAGGTCCATGAGTGAGTAAGTGAGTGAGTGAGTGAATAATGACAGATAAATGAATTCAGAGCCTCTTCTTTAAGGACTTCTTTTCAAGCCCATATCACTTTCACTTTAGTATCTACACTAACAGCAAAACTTTGTGGGTTTGCAGTGAATTTGATTAGTGAAAACAATCCAGAATCACTAAGAACAAGTCATGGGAATATGAGACTCAGTTCAGTGGGATAAGGGCACTTAGGGAAACAGAGGCAAGACAAAAATATTACAAGTCTGACTTTCCCACAATTGGGCTCTAAAGGCAATTCCATAAATGATTTGAACATCCAAAACAACTCTAGATCGGCCATATCAAGGCCAGGGTGACTGCTTGGAAAGGCTACCCCTCAGTATAGGAAAAACTGGCATGCTAACTTTCTCTAACTGGGCTTATACATTTATGGTCAATGTGTATATAATACTTTTTAAATGACTGAAGGGAAAGGCCCTAGCCTTATGCTAATCTTAAATCCATAAAACTTCATTTTCCCATCTATAAAATGAAGGATCCAACTAGATAACCTCTTTCAGCTTTTTAAGTGCTAACATTTCATAATTTCTATAAATAAATAGTTTAAACATTGTTCACACGTCTTCAACCACTCTAACATCTCAGAGGTTCCATATTGCGGGGAACTGTCTCTTAAAATAGCCACAGGGCCCCAAGGGAAATTATGCTTTAGACAGCAACCATAAGGTAAAAGTAAGCTATAATAGCAAGGTAAACAGGATACACATCTGTCTCTGTCTCTGTCTCTGTCTCTGTCTCTCTCTCTCTCTCACACACACACACACACACACACACACACACACACCTGTCCCATTAGCTGCAAACTATCTGTCCCCAAAGGACAATTATTGAAGTCATCATAATAGATTACATTCACATGAAATCAGTCATATAAATCATACAGAGTACAGCTTCTCTTTAAATGTTTTATCAACTTTTCACCAAGTAGTTATGACTTCAAAAACAGAAGGAGAGCTTTCAAATGAAAGTAGTTCAGCGGGCTTGAGTGAGTCCTGCTTCCGACTGTGTCCAAAGTATTTTATTCTGTAGGTTCCAGGCTGGGCAGTATCTGGAATGTGCCACTGTATCGTTGCATTGCTAAGACCCAGTAATCCTTTGTGCCAATAGAAACTGTTGGTAGGAAACAAACAACCCAATTTTACTCTTAAAAATGTGCGATTAAAAAGTGATTAGTCAATAAATGAATATTAAAAGAGTACTGACAATAAGCAAGGGCACTCTACTAGATATTGAGAATATAGCAATGAACAAAACAGGGATAAATACTTCCTAGGAGCAGATCTTCAAGAAACAGTCATTTGCAGAAATATCTTTACTTGTTCTACCTAACTGCCTAAATTCTATCCATCCTAGGATAGCCTTACCTGATATTCAGAACAAAGGATGTCCCCTGCTTTAGAACTGCTATAGCATCCCTTCAGCCATTGCCATCCTCTACTTCAACTTGACACTTTTTGCATCTAGACTCATTTGTTCAAAATATGCATTTCATGAGCTCATATGCCAGACTCTATGCTAGAGGTACTGAGAATACCGTAGCGAATGGGAGAGACATGATCCAAAGTTTCACAGAGCTTATGGTCAAACTAGGACAAGCATAGTAAAAAGAGCAATAAAAAAAGTAAATCAACAAATAATTTTAAAAGGGAAAAGTGAGGGGCTTCCCTTGTGGTCAAGTGGTTAAGAATCCACCTGCCAAGGCAAGAGATATAATTTCCATCCCTGGTCAGGGAAGATCCCACATGCCACAGAGCAACGAAGCCCGAGCACCACAACCTCTGAGCCCAGATGCCCTAGAGCCTGTGCTGTCCACAACAAGAGAAGCCAGAGCAAGGAGAAGCCCATGCACCACAATGAAGAGTAGATCTTGCTTGCTGCAACTAGAGAAAGCCTGAGGGCAGCAATTGAAGATCCAATGCAGCCAAAAAGAATAAATAACTTAAAAGCAAAATTAAAAAGAAAAGTGAAATGAAGAAAGTAAGAGAGGTATCTCTAAGGAGATGTCCTTTACACTGAACGCACATGTCTTGTAAAAGAACATTCCAGAAAGAAGGAACAGAGAATGCAAAGTGTTTGAAGCAGAAGCAACTTGATGCAGCCAAGAGACAGAATGCATGTGAGCAGGATCAGGGCAGAATGGTTGAGATGATAGAATCAGATGGAATCAGATCATGTTGCTCCTTGTAGATCATGGCAGGGAGGTAAGCTACTAAATACAGAGAGGCACATGGGCAAACTGACTGATACCCTTGGTTATGTAGAGGATAAACCCTCTGGGCAGAAAAGGTGTGCTCAGCATCCTATGGTTCCTCAGTGACAGGTCCCGAGTTCTCTATAAGTAGCTGGTGATACTGCTGCTTGCAAACAAGGCTGAATACTACATTTCCTTGGTGTTAACTACTATTCTGACTTCAGGCTTTTGAAACTAAATTATCCTTTTTTGTTACCTGTATAACCATATTTTAACAATATATATGCATGTATTACTTGTTTAAATACTACCTAGAGTCTTAAAGATCAGAGAAAACATCATGCCCATAATTTTGGGAGGCTATCAAATAGGCCACAATAAGGTCAAATCTCTATTTTCAGTTAACCATGGAAACCAAACTAACATACAAATAATCACTTAGTTCGAGGTCATTTGAATTAGACCAAATGACCAAAAATTTTGCTCATATCCATACTACTGTTCCAAGGTGTGAAATTTATATACATAGGAATGGAAACATTTCCAAACGTATTTTCAAATCTTCACATTATCTATCCACCTCAGGTATTTGATAACAAAAAGCACAGAGAAAAGTTTCTCTGAGGAAACTCTATGAGCATATTCCTTTCCTACTTGGGTCAGCAAGAGTTAAACACTCAAGCTTATTGTATTTTAGTAATTCAAATGAAGAACCATTGACTACATACAAACATGCAACACATGGTAAGTATAGAGTCATTGTTATCTCAGGAGAAATATCAAGCTCCACAGAGCAATTTCATACATCTTCACCCAGCAGGCCTTGCAACCACTTTGCAGGAAGACTAAATAGCTTTTAAGGGTTATGTCTGTGACCATGGAAAAAACCAAAACCAACAGATATTTGAAAGCATAGAGTCATAACCTTATTAGCACCTAATCTTACAGATGCACACAGCACATTGTTTCGTAGAAAAATAGGATCAAGATGAAATCTAATAAATCAACTAAATAAAGCCAGAAGGCTTTTTGGGAGTTTGATATTATTAATATCATGCACTGAGCCAGTCTTCCCATTTGTCTTCTCTGCATTACTAACCAACTCTTTTCAGGGCTTGAAAGACAAAATATTCAACAGACATGCTCACCGGGTCTCCCAGGAGGCATCATTATGCATTATCTGCCATGTTGCTGATGTGGCCTCATATTTCTCCACAGTGAGGAAGGTCTGATGGGTCTGAAATGCAATTAATATAACTGATCAGGCACTGCACAGTCACAGAAGAAATCTAACTGTAGAAACCCCATAATCCCCTGTTGACCACTGCTAACCTCCCAAGACCTGATGAGCATATGTATTAGAATTTCATACAAATCCTCAGGTGTTCCTCTTAACAATCTATGCAACGTCTTCAGAATGTTAACTCATCCAGTCTATTAAAAACCATGACTTCTCTTTAGAAAATTGAATGAAGAACAATTTTAGAGCTGACAGTAAATTTTGGAAATTAGAGCAAAGAAGAGACTAAATAAATCAAGATTTAGAAAAGGCAGCAAACCATTTCTGACATGGTCATTGATCTGCATTCTAAGACTTTCTCTAGTCACCCCCAGATTTAGGAGGGAAAAGTGGGAAAATTTCCTCATTTTTACATCTCCAGATAAATGAGTTATTAGTATATACCTGTCTGAGTGAAAGAATTGAAAAGCATATGTAAATCTTCTTACTCCTGGGGAGCTAAAAGCAATCCTTATATTTTGTCATAATGGATGTCTAGACAGCACATCATAAGCAGATTATGTTTTCCCAATGGAAAATAAAATTTTCCACATTGGTCATAGTAATTTGTTTTAGACCACGAATTCAGCTTCAAATAAAGCACATATTTAAATAATATAATAATAAAACATACAAAGGCCATGAATCTCCAATTTTCCTAAAAATCTTTAGATCATGGCCTTTAAGGTCAGGTTGTTGTTATTGTTTAGTTGATAAGTCGTGGCTGGCTCTTTTGTGACTCCATGTAGCCCACCAGGCTCCTCTGTCCATGGGATTTCCCAGGCAAGAATCCTGGAGTGAGTTTCCATTTCCTTCTCCAGGGGATTTTCCCAACCCAGGGATCAAAGTTATATCTCCTGCTTGACAGATGGATTGTTTACCACTGAGCCACCTGGGAAGCCAGGACTTGTGTCTAATTCACCTTTATCCATTACAACCTTGTCATTTACAGGTGTTCAAATAAACCTTGGCTGAATCAATCACTTATTTATAGCTGGACCATGGGATTCTTTAAAATTCTTCTTTAATTACTCAACTTTAATTACTCGCTCAGTTGTGTCTAACTCTTTGCAACCCCACTGACTAGCCCGCCAGGTTCTTCTATCCATGGGATTCTCTAGGCAAGAATTCTGGAATGGGTTGCCGTTTTCTTCTCCAGGAATTGAACCTGGGTCTTTGCATTGAAGGCAGATTCTTTACCATCTGAGCTACCAAGGAAGCACTGATTACTCAACTATGGATAATATTCAATTTAAAAGAAAGTTTCCATAACCACAGCGACTTGAAAAGAGAATTGTTCATGGCCATTTAGGGCAGAGTGACACTGGGAATGCCTTCAGTGGAGAAGGAAACAGGAAGGGCCCCAGTGTATAGGTCTCAAGTGCAGATCAAAGAACAAAGCTAGGATGCCAAATGTGCAAACTCTGTGACCATCCTCTGTGACCTCGCCTCCCAACCTTAATCTCTTCTAGATCCACAATTAGTTCATGCAAGTTACTTAATTTCTCTCAGTCTCACTTTATTCATCTGTAAAACAAAGATAATAAAATGTATCTCATTGAGTAGTAGGGAGGATTAAATAGATTCATGTGATGATGTATGTAAAGCCTTTAGCCTAGTACCTGCACATGGTAAGCATTCAACACATAGTGGTAAGGATGTGATGATCACTAATACTAAAGGGTACCAGAAATTGTTTTATGCCAAGTCCCAAAACAGCCTTAGGAATTAATTCTGTTCTCACAGTTCTTTAAGTAGTTTAGTCCCCTGCTTCTCCAGGCAATGATGAGGATAGTATTTCTCCACCCTAAGGATATCAGGTGACAGCTAATCCTGCAGTCTTGCTACAACACTTTAATATCTTTAGAAAATAATGTTATATAAAAAAAGAAAAGAATGTTGTAAACATGTAAATATCTGGCATGACTTGACTACCTAGAGAAATTATTTCAAACAGGTGCATGTTGACTATCCAAGCAATAGAAAAATCTTTCCAAATATTATATCTGACAATGTCACATTGTCACAACTTTTATCAAAGGAATCATCATATTTTAATAAACAGAAATGGGAAGGCTCACTTAAAGGCATTTTGGATTATAGGCAACAATGGGCTCTGGGAAGAATGACTCTTTCATAGAGTGAATGCATTCTCTGCCACAGGAAAAAAATCTCACCTTGAAATCACTTTCATGGACCCATTTTCTTTTTCCTCTATATATTTCTTTATTGTTTGAAACCTTACAGATAGATCATATCTAATTATTGCTTGTATAGTTACAAGAACATTCCAAGGGAGTTTCAGAGGAGTAAAATTACTTCATTTTATCCATATATATTATATAATTTATCATATACATAAATACAGATATATGACAAAAATATGAAATGATAGGTAAGAAATTGGTAACAGTGATTGCCTCTAAAAATGTTCATGAAAAGAGAGGTGCTTTCATAGTTCATTTTAAGAACTTCTGTACTATCTGTTTTTACAGAGAATCTGTATTTCTTTTGTCATTTTTCAAGATTAATAAATAAACACTCTATTAGTGCCAGTAGCAAAGAGTAGGGAAATGACCAGTGCAAGAAAAAGGAAAGCATGTGGGCCAGGGCTCCAGTGATTAGAGTGTCCGCTCAGGGATCCATGATCATTCCACAGAATTGGAAGCAGGACCAGAGTCAGGAGTGCAGGAGAGGAGAGGGGTCAAAGAGGGTGAACAGAACCAAAGATACACTTCACAATGGCCCTTGGCTTATTTCACCAAATTCAGTAGAGTTTTAAAATTGGAATTCATAAATAGGAATTGTATTCAAATCTACATCATCTCAAGAGACAACGTAGTTCTCTATGCATTGTGCTATATGTGGTCCTAAGTAGAGCCAATTAAATATTTCCTGGGGGCTATTTTTTTAGACCCAACTCTACATTCACTGTTCCCCCTGAAAATTTTCACACCTATAAAATATGATGAAAAGCAAGCTAGAACATTCTGTCTTTATTTTTTAATCTTCAGGGGGATACGCAAGTGAAAGGCTAAAGAAGTAGACTTAAATTCGTAAAAAGAATCACTAATGCTTACCCGGTTTTCTGCTGAATTCTTCGGGTTAGCACCTACAAAGGTAACTTCAACAACTTCTCCCTGAAAATAAAAACTCATTTCATGAGTTCTAATAATAGTATTTTTCCATGCTCATATTTGGGCCATTATTTATGAAACATTCCTAGGAGTCTGGGTACCTGTAGAGTTTATATTGTATTTAATTGAATCTTCTAAGAATATTAGAGAAAATACCCTTGTAACAATGGGAACAGAAATTTGGACCCAATAAATTACTTCAGAATTTTAGATCAATGAATTTGCTTTTGATAGATTCAGATATAGATGAAGATATAGAGCTATATATCTACAAATTCAAATAACTTAGATGAAATGAAATGGAAAAATCCCTCAAGATATAGAAATTACTAAAGATTACTCAAGAAGTAGATGCCCTTAATAGTAAAAACTTACCAAACTATACTCTTTAAAGATGTAGTTTGCTGTAGGTCATTTATACATCAAAAAAATATTTTTAAATAACAAACTAACAAATAAGCCTTCACATGACTTACCATGGTATACAAGACCTTTTACAGGTAAGTTCCCACCTGCTGCTCCACCTTAAGCCCTCTATAGTCCATATACCTACAGGTGGTATGTCTTGGGGCTTCTTTCGTGGCTCAGCCAGTAAAGAACCTGCCTGCAATGCAGGAGATCCAGGTCTCTTGATGGGCACTATAAACTCCTACCTATCCTCCAAGACCTAGCCCATATTAAAAACATGTTTTAAGAAAAATATTCCATGGGTTCATAATCAATGATGACCATCTAAGCAGAGATGTGCAGTTCACTCGTTTACTGTTAACACCCCTGAATAACTACCATCAATTTATTTTTTCTAATTTTCTTCATTTTCACCAGTGAGATTATCAAATTAGCCAGCTTCACCAATGGCTAGCAAAATGTTTCAACAGCAGTTAGAATTTTCTGCAAAAATCACTCTATTCTTTATATAGAGCAATCATCCCTGCAAACCATATCATGGTTCACTTAAAAAATAAAATTTGCACATGATTAGCCAAATTTTACTAATCCTTACATGTTCTTGTCCTTGATTTTTTTCCTACCATCACAATTCCTGTTCACTCACACTCATCTTAACAACGAGGGACAACCCCACTACAGATATAATGTACCAATCCAAATGGTAGTGGTATAGAACAGACATTTCTCACATGACAGCATAAGGAAGTCAGTATGTCCTTTCCCTAAAAAGGAACTATGCATATTGACAAAACTATCAAAAATAACCACTTTTAAATTTTATTTTATTTTTTTTTAAATATAGTCGGTTTACAATGTTATGTTCGTTTCTGGTGTACAGTGATTCAATTATATATTTTTTTCATATTCCTTTCATTTTAGGATATTATAGGTTATTAAAAGATATTGAATATAGTTCCCTGTGCTATACAGTGGAACTTTATTGTTATTTTCTACATAGTAGTTAGTATCTGCTAATCACAAGTTCCTAATTTATTCCCCCATCCCTTTCCCTTTTGGTAACCAAAAGTTTATTTTCTATGGCTATGAGTCTGTTTCTGTTTTGTAAGTAAGTTTGCTTGTATCATATTTTAGATTCCATATATAAGTGATACCATATTTGTCTTTCTCTGTCTGACACATTTCACTCAGTATGATAATCTCTAGGTACATCCATGCTGCTACAAATGGCATTATTTCACTCTTTTTCATGGCTGAGTAGTTTTTATTGTATATTATATACACCACATCTTCTTTATCCATTCATTTGTTGAAGGACATTTAGGTTGCTTCCATGCCTTAGCCACTGTAAATAGTGCCGCTATGAACATTGGGGTGCATATATCTTTTCAAATCAGAGTTTCCTCTGGATATACTCCCAAAGTGGGACTGCGGGATCACATGTAACTCTAAAAACAACCATTTTGGCACTTCAAATAACTGCAAACTGAGAAATGTTTGTTCATTAAAACAACTAAACTTAGGGTAAGCACAGTACAAATTTTTGGTTTTCTTACCAGGGTTGTGCTCATCCTCTGTGGTACTATAGTTCAACCAGAGTGGAGAAGGCTGTAAAATCTCTACTAAAGTGTCTTTCTGGATGAAAATAAGATGACTGGTGGCTGGGGGCTTCTGCATAACCTCAGAATGGGAGTCAGTTGTCAGGGGAACAAACCATGCGATTAGAGAGTTAGAACTTTCAATTCCAACTCCCTGATCTCCAGGGAGGGAAAAGAGCTAGCGGGCGAGTTAACCACACATGGCCAATTTAGTCAATCATGCCCAGGTAAGGAAGCCTCCACAAAAGTCCCTGAAGCATGGGATCCAGACAGCTCCCAGGTTGGTGAACGCGCAGAGATTCTGGAAGGTGGAATGCCTGGAGAAGCTCTGCATTCCTCCCTCCATACCTTGCTCCACGCGTCTCTTCCATGGGTTGTTCCTGGGTTGTAACCTTTTATAATCAGCTGGTGATCTAGTAAGTAGACTATTTTCCAAAGTTCTGTGAGCTGTTCTAGCAAGTTATTAAACCTGAGGAGGAGAATCTCCAATTTATATCCAGAGAATCTTCAATTTATAACCAGGCTGTTAGAAGCACAGGTGACAACTTGGATTTACCATTGGTGTCTGAAATATGTGTGTATGGGGGGAAGTGGAAAGGCAGGGTGCTATCTTGTGGAACTGAGCCTTTGTGGAAAAAAAAAAAAAAACAGTGAAAGTGTTAGTAGCTCAGACGGGTCCAACTCTTTGCAACCCCTCTGTCCATGGGATTCTCCAGGCAAGAATACTGGAGGGGGGTAGCCATTCCCTTCTCCAGGGGCTCTTCCCAACCCAGGGATTGAACCTGGGTCTCCTGCAGTGCAGGCAGATTCTTTACTATCTGAGCCACGAGGCAAGCCCACTGAGCACTTAACTCCAAGTAAATAACATCAGAATTGGTTTGTAAGGCATCAAATTGGTGTCCACAGGGAATAGGAGAACCTTCACACAATTACTGTGGGGGGAACCTCCAGACAATTGCTGTCAGAAGTATCGAGAGTGGAAGGTTAAGACCAGAAACAGTTCTTTTCCAAGGCTCTAATATCAGGAAAATAGCTAAAAATATACATAGTAAAAAAAACCAACAGAGGAATTTATAAAAGGACATTACACATAAAAATAACCTAAGCATCCACTTTAAGAAATGAGAAGTGCAAAATAAAATCAAAGCAGGCAGAAGGAAGGAAATTAAACACTAGAGCAAAAATCAGTGAAATAGAAAAACAACAGATAAAATCAATGAAGTTAAAAGATGGCTCTTTGAAAACACAAGTCAGCAAAACCAGGAAGAAAGAGGGGACATCATTATTGACCTTACAAGAATTAAAAAAATTATAAGGGAATGCTATGAATGAGTTTATCCCAACACATTAACAAGTATATGAAATGGGAAAATTCTTAATGACAAATTAAACTGCTAGAAAGATATACAACTGACTTAAGAAAAAATATAACATCTAAATATGCCTAAATCGAGTAAAGAAATTGAATTACTGATTTAAAATTTTGCCATAAAGAGAAACCCAAATTTAAATGACTTTGCTGGTAAATCTGATCTAATATTTAAAGAAGAAATAATATTAATCTTTTGCATACATTTTCAGATAATATGAGAGGAAACACTTCCTACTCCTTCTTTGATACCAGTATTACCCTGATAGCAAGACCAAAGACAACACATGAAAGGAAGACTGCAAACGCCCCTCATAGACATGAGTACAAAATTCTTTAGAAAGATATTAGCAAACCAAATTTGTGAAGAGTTAGTCATGAAGTGTTAGTCATTCAGTTGTTCCCAACTCTTCGTGACCCCATGGACCGTAACCCACCAGGCCCCTCTGTCCATGGGATTTTCCAGGCAAAGATAACTGGAGTGGGTTGCCATTTCCTTCTCCAGGGGATCTTCCCAACCCAGGGATCAAACCTGGGTCTCCTGCATTGCAGGCAAATTCTTTACCAACTGACCTACAAGGGAAGCCCACATGTTGTTAAACCAAATTTAACAACATGTAAAAAGTACTGTATACCATGACTAAAGGGTATTTATTGAATATCTGAAAATCAATTAATAAAATATACCCTATTAATAGATAAAAAATACAAAAGCCACATGATCATCTCAGTAGACACAGAAAAGCATTTGGAAGAAAGTCAACACCATTTCTTCATAAAAATTCTCAACAAACTAGACATAGAAGGGAATTTTTTAACCTAATAAAGGGTATCTACAGAAATTCTAATGAAAGCATTATAGTTAATAACTGAATACTTTTCCTCCTAAAATTAGGAACAAGATAAAGATGTCCATTCTTACAACTTCCTTTCAACATTGCTTTGGAGACTCTAGCCAATGCAATAAGGAAAAAAAATAAAAGGTATCCAGAAAAGAAATTCAAAAAGAAGTAAACCTGCTTTTATTCACAGATGACATACTATACATAGGCATTTCTAAGGAATCCACACCAAAAAAACATCTATTGAAACTAATAAATGGTTTGGCAAAGTTACAAGACACAAGATCTATATAAAGTACTAGTGGTAGAAAACCTGCTTCATTTCTATGTGTTTTCCTACCCTTGACTTAAGAAACCACTTTTCTATGCTGCAATGAACGATTCCAAGCCTATCTCTTTAAAAGAAAAAAAGAATAATTTGAATTTTAGAAATTCAATTTTTCCAAAATTGCCATCCAAAAAATAAATACTTCCCCATTCTCATTCTTATCTGAAGAGATAAGAACAATTTTCAAAATCATTGCTAATAACTGGTCCGTGGCATGATTCAAGGCAGGTGGTGACTTTTAAACAACATCTTCCCCCCCGCCCCATCTTCAAATATAGGCTTCAGAAGGATCCCAAGATCCCTTTGCAAGCCTTACCACTCTGTATGTAGCATTCGCTGGCAGCAGGATATCCCCAAAAGCTGTGCCTGCAGGCACTCTATCCACAATATTTGGAATTAACGGAGACATCAGTTCTTCAAAAAATGGAGGCTCTGGACCACTGCTCAGATTGGCTACAGTATCCTAGAACAGAGAGCATTTGCTTAAGGGGTGTACAATATAGAGGGGGACCTTTTCCCCTGAACACAGCCCCCTCAAAATGTCTTCATTTGAACACACACACACACACACATTCATTTTCACTCTTTCTCTTCCCAAGAGCTAACAACTGTAACAAAATATGAGGGGAACTTTGCTGAAATAGGAGCCTAGATGTCCATAATTTTAACTTTTGTGACAGAAGAACATTTCGGTCACAGGAAACACTTCCACTCCACTCATCAGTATAATCTGAGTATAAGCTAGGAATCATGCTACATGAGTTTAGACTCTGGGACAACCATTCTTTACATGTATGACTCTGAATATGAACACATGGTCAGCCTCTGTGACATGACAATGTAATCATTCTTTAAAATGTTTAAAAAGTGTTAAGTCTCTCTTATCCAAAGCCACTACCAAGTATTTTCCTAAATCCTTCTCTGTGCTAATTAATGAATATAACAAATATAGTTTTAATTTAAAAGTTAAGACCAGCCTGTAACATACCCAGTTTAGTCTATGTTTTCCATAAAATGTCTCACCTTTAAAAGTGTCATCAAAATTCTAATCTCAAATTTTAAATAGCCCTTCATATGTATTTAATATACTTTAATCCTTGCTCTATATACTTAATCTTTACACCAGCCATATAATCTACTCATTATCATTCCCACTTTACAAATGGGAAAATAGGTTTGCATATACTCGGTGGTATTTTTGCCCAAGATCACATAGATATTCTTAGACACATAACCATAAAATTCTGAAACAAATTTCTGTGAAGTGAATCACACTTCCTAAATATCACTATAAAATGTGATGCCTCTATTTCTATGGGAAGCACTATAAACCTGTAATTGCATGAAAGTTAAACAGTGGTTATCTCTAGAGATGGCTTGTAGGTTTATACATATCTTTATAATCTGAATATTCTACAAATAGGTACAGGTTTTATGATAAAAACTAAAAATAATTGAAAAGAAAGTATCAGATCTAAAATTGAAAGGCATATTGTGATACAATAATAATCAGGTAATTAAGATAATGGGTTGGCTAACAAGTTTATTCAGGTTTTTCCATAAGATGCTACAAAAAACCTGAATGAACTTTTTGGCCAACCCCATATATCTTAAAGTAGATTCCTTCTACTGAGATTTCAAATACACAGTCAATAGCTAATTAGGTGGAGGCATATGAAATTTCCAATATTTCACTGTTTTGACCTACAGAAATAGCAGTTTTGTTTCAGTTTGATATATCCAAGCTCTTTCTTTGAAAGGGCTTTATTGTCTTGGCTATGCCATCCCTGCCTCATAGCCTTTTGGGTCTTATGTGGTATTATACAAGGATCATTTATTATTTTGAAGTCATCATCCTGCATATTGACTAATCTTCTGCCATCAGAATGCACCTTTGTATATAAACTATATACCAAGGTAAGATTTACATGAGTGTTGTTTCTTTAAATAAACTCATTTAGGTGTACATATTTTAGGTATACATATTTTAGGCAGATACAATGTATATGTACATTTGAAGACAACTCTTATACTTTATCAAATCTAACGCTCTATTGATTATAATAACTATTATTATTTTTGAACCACCAAGAAAGTAAAAACATGCTAATGTATAATTGTAAGATTCCTTTGATTGGAAGATACATCCCAATTTCAGAGATGTTCTAATACAGAAAATGGACATGTCAGAATTAATAAACCACTCAATTCATGAAGCAAATGGAGAGAAACTGACCAGGATAGGGAGCACTGGTTCAACTCCCAGTTATAGTAAGCTTGATCACTTCTCATCTCTGAACCTATTTGCTCATCTGAAAAATGGGGGAAAATGATACCTCTATACTTCACATGATGACTGCAAGAATAATATGAGATAATATATATGAAAAAAGTGGTCACCACCAAAAGATGACTGACTCTGAATTAATTTTATCAGTTTCAATTTTTAGAGATACCTCACAGCTATAATATTTTTAAATATAAAGATTTTTAAAGGAACTGAACACTCAAAGTGAAGGTGTTTTTTGCTTCCTTCTTCATCTCCCCACTCCTGAGACATACAAACATACAATTTTTGATTACCGTAGCAATGGCCTTAGCAAGGACTCTGAAAAGCTGGATGTAGGCAGACAGAGTATGTGGTCCATAAATTGTGGATGCTGCCTCATACCGCTGAGCCTGCAGGAGAGGTAGGGCAGAGCTGTTCACCATTCTGCAGAGTTCTATCCATTTGCAGGTGTTGCATTTTAGTTACAGGTAATGATTGGACATCTTGCATAATCCAAACTGACATCATTCAAAACTAATTATGATAAAGGAGGGTGAGCATTTCCATTTACCAGCTGAAGTAAATGGTTCCCATCAACTATTTGTTAAAGGCAATGAATTCTCTTGGCTCATGCCATTTGGACAGTCAATCCATTTTATTTGAAAGAGGGATTTATTTGAAAGAAATCATCCTGAATAAATTGGATGGTTATAGGACTATCTGGAAAAGGACATTTAACCCATCCTTCTTGTTGTTGTTTAGTTGCTAAGTCATGTCTGACTCTTTTGCGGCCCCATGGATTGTATGTAGCCTGCCGGGCTCCTCTGTCCCTGGGATTTCCCAGGCAAGAATACAGGAGTGGGTTTCCATTTCCTTCTCAAGGGGATCTTCCTGACCCAGGGACTGAACCCACATCTCCTGAATCAGCAGACAGATTGTTTACCACTGAGCCACCTGGGAAGCCCATTTAACCATCACAGAAATACAAAATAAAACCAAATACATCTCCTTTCACCTGCGGTCCAAAGATTTGGTTATTCACAGAAACCTTCAATTCATCAAATCTAACATGGAACTTATCCCTCCAAATATATCCGCTTTCCCTGCAACATTCTTCATCTCAGTGAAGCCTATGCCAGGATTGTCTGGCAGTCATCCTGTAAGTCTCCAAGTCATCATTCCTTAAAATCCTCTTGAATTCTTTCATTTTCCTCTTTCTTTACTGCTTTTACCTTGGTCAAACCCTTACTTCTCACCCAGATCATAACTATAGCTTCTTCTTCAGTTCGTTCTCTGCCTCCACACTTGCCCTTCCAATTCATTTTCTACACTGCCATCCTAGTGAGCTTTCTAAATCAGAGCATTCCTTCCTTTGAATTTGGCTACAGTGCCCTAAAATCCTCCTTATTGAGTCAGAGGTCTGTGGCACACCACAGAAGATTCTCCGTTGACTAACCCCTGCCTCCCACTTTAGCCCATCTCATTACCCTCCTCATGTTTATCCCAGGGTATTCAGCTAAGTGCAGCCCCTTAAATATACTAAGCCTGCCCCTCTGGACCTTTGCATATGTAATCCCTCAATATGGAACACCTTCCATTAGCTTTCATTATATTTGCTTAATCAGTCCTTACTCATTCTCAAGAACTTGGACAAACACTGTATCTTCATGAAAATTTGCCCGTCCCCAATGTCAAACACCCAGTTTAAATTGATGCTCTTTCTCTTTGTTTTCATAGCACCCTGTGCATCTCTTTCACAGAAATGGAGTCATCTGCTTTCCTCTATGTCTTTTATGTCTTTTACTGACCCATAAATTCTAGTGGGCTTGAGGGTAGGAGCAGATTCATAACCACTGTCACGCCCAGATAGTGGCTAATACAATATCTGTCACAAAACACATCTGCTGAATGAATGAGTGAATAAATCTATTAATTAATTAATACAATTTTTGCATGTCCCTAATCAGGAGACAAGCTAGTAGGGGTTTCTAACTATTTGTTCCATGGTCCCCTTTGGCAGACTGTTGAGGCCTATAGACCCCTCTAAGAGTAATGTTTCTAAACACATAAAATAAAATACATGGGTAGACAAAGAAAACCTATTAAATGAAATCAAATAATATACTAGCTTTGTGACAGAGCAATGTTTGTGTTTCTGTGTGATGCCCTTGAATAATAAGATCTTGTAGGAGATCTAATAACTACTGTGATTTTAAAATAGCAATGAGAATAAAAGACTTTCCTGGTAGTTCAGCTGGTAAAGAATCTACCTGCAATGCAGGAGACCTGGGTTTGATCCTTGGGTTGGGAAGATCCCCTGGAGAAGGGAATGACTACCCACTCCAGTATTCTGGCCAGGAGAATTCCATGGACTGTATAGTCCATGGTGTTGCAGAGTCAGACACAACTGAGTGACTTTCACTTTCAATGAGAATAAAAGATATTTCCATATATGCAGTTACTATGTGTGATATAAAAATATTCATGGTTCCTATTGGTGACAAAAGTCATAGCACTGATATTACTGTCACTTGTTGCCTACATTCACAATTGAAAGAAGTGCTAAATAACATATGAGCGTGCTCAGTCGTGTCTGACTCTTTGCAACACCATGGACTATATAACCCATCAGGCTCCTTGGTCCATGGAATTTTCCAGGCAAGAATACTGGAGTGGGTTGCCATTTCCTACTCCAATGCTAAATTACAGTTACAGATAAAGGCAAAAATGGAATTATTCTCATCTAACTTATTATTTTTCATCTAAGTTTATCGCAATTAAGAACCTTTATTCAACAGGAATTCCTCAAAGGCATGGACCTTCAGTAAAGTCAAAAGAGGGCAGCAGGGCAGACTCCACTGCTGGAATTACTGAGCATTTGTCAAGAGGCAGCCTGTGTGCCACGCTATGAATTGCCAAGTTATACCTCAGATGTATTAGAAACGAGTAAGTATGGACTTCTATCCTGTTTTCATGTTTTTAGCTACTGGTGTTTAAAAGTACTTAGGCTACTTTTTGTACTATTTGTAACAAACAAAATAAAAACATCACCAGTCAGCAGCCTCCCTAATTTTTTGAGGCTCTGTTTCTTAATTTGGATCATGCTATAACAGTACCCTACTTCAGTCAGGGTTAATTGAGAGGATTACATAAAATCACATTTGCAAGGTGCTTAGCCAGTGCTTTCACTAGATAGTAGTTGCCAATGGGCATTTTCTCAGGTTCTACAGAAGCTTAAGGCACCAAAAGCATTATGGATCGAGTTAGAAATGTTGTATGCCATAACCCAGGCTCATTACCAGTGCCCTTGACCAGGTAATTTATTTCAGGGAAAGTGGAAGTCAATGAGACTAGAATTCTCAACTGAACTTAGAAATGGTCAACCTAGAACTCCCAAATATGACCTCTGGCTTATCCTTTTCTTACCTGCTCTAAAACAAAATCATCTCTCAAAAAACATGATTAAGGAAGTCCAGAAAGAAAATCTGCATTTGATGCAATCGTCTTGATCAGAATATAATTCATTTAAATGATGAGAACTTTTACTTTACCTGGTATTCTTCATATGTGGTAATGTAGTGTGTGTATACATTACATAGACCTGAAATAACAACAGTCATATTCAGCATCCCATAAGCTTCAAATTCCTAGGGCAAAAGGGAGAGTGCAATAAAATTACTCTTCATCTTAAAGTGTATTATAATTTTTGTTATATTTAACATACAATTATCCATATGAATTTTTATTGTAACATATCTATCTTAATATCTTTCCCAATGATCAAAATTGCTCAGGAATACAGGAGAATCAGAGAGTCCTTGGTGAAAAGTTAAAAGGCTTAATTCTGCATTCCAGTCGGGCAAGTCAATGGACCTATGAACATCCTAATAATTGTATTTGCTGATGCAGAAGCTTATTACTAAAAATATAGATTTTTTTAATCAATTTCCTAAAAAGTCTAAAGGGAGCATTATTAGCTAGCCACAGTAGCTATTTCCAGCTCCAAATAATTATGGATTATGTTAATTAATTAATGCTGATTATGTCATTTTAGAACCATTGACAATACTTTCTGAAATAAAGAAAATCACAAATATAGATAAAACACATAATTTTCAACATGTGTTAGATTTTTTATATAGGACTTTAAGATATTAATGTACTTGGGGTCATTTACTACTGAATCCATAAAACTCATCAATTTTAAATTATTAGTACATAAATACTAATAAAATATTTTAATACTACTATATTTCCTTTATATTTTTAAGTTTATTCTTATGCCATCAATATTTCATATTCACCTCCAGCCTTTACTTTCAAGAGGTGTAAAACTCTTATCATCTTAGCAAAGATTAATTTAAAAGGTATCAGATCATAAGGATAGGGAAATCTTCTCTTTTCCAAATAAAAATGCATAGGTATATTATTTCATTTGTAACTTACTTCTTGAACTGCCTGCCGAAGTCTTCGTCCAGACATGGTCCTGAATCAAGAAAACAGAATTATCTAAGTGGCTTCCTATTCAGAATGTATGCAAGGTACACAGACTTGGAATGAAAGCCAAAAAGTTAGCCTGGCTACACAGCAGTAAAGTGTATAGAAACAACACACACAATAGTAAAGTGTGTAGAAACAACACAAGTTCTACTTGAGTTTTTTTCCACACTGCCCTATCTTCAAAATAAATCCTAAACCAAAACCAGACAAGCTGAAGGAGGAAAACAGAAGTGAATATCACTGGCAGAAGATCACAATTGTCTTCCATTCACTGAGTCAACAGTTGGTTACATTCTATGTTAATAAGAGCTGAGGCAAGTAGAGAGTACTATTCCTGCCTACAGAGAACTTACGCTTCATTCATTTATTTAGCTCAGATGGTAAAGAAACCACCTGCAATGCAGGAGACCTGGGTTCAATCCCTGCATCAGGAAAATCCCCTGGAGATGGGAATGGATACCCACTCCATTATTCTTACCTAGAGAATTCCATTGACAGAAGAGCCTGGGGGATTACAGTACATGGGGACACAACTGAGCTACTAACTTTATACCAGATCCACTTCAAATTGCTGAGGCCTCAACAATATGGAGCTTACATTCTTGGAAGAGAAGATGGTCAATAGAAAATAAAAAAGTGAGATGACAATAAGTGCAATGGAGAATATAAGGTAGGATAAGGATGAAAGAGGATGGTGGCAGTCATTGTGGTGATGGTGGTAGTGATGTAATGGTGCTGGTAGCAGTGGTGGGTGAAAACAATGTTATGTACTGTAAGCAGGACTGACATCTCTGTTAGAGTTTTCAGCAGAGCAATGAAGGAATGAAAGAGTTGGCCATGGAGATATATGGAAGGTAAGTGTTGCAGGTAGAAGGAGCTGTTTAAGTTCAAAAGCTCTAAAACAGGAGCATGCTTGGTAGCCTCAGAATTACAGTGGAACCAAGGTGACTGCAGCAGGTGTGATTGAGGTAAATCAATTTTGTACGGAGTGGTACAAAATCAGATCAGACAGTTTGCTGAAGAGAGCATCACAGAGGGCCTTGCTAGATATTATAAGGGTGTGAGGGTTTATCTGGAGAGTTGGGAAGCTATTGAAAGGTTATGATAAGTGACATGATTTAACTTATGCTTTACAGGGATAACTCTGGCTATAACGTTGAGAAAAGACTATAGGGGAGTAAGGGAGAGGCAAGAAAGTGAGAAGGTTATTGCAGTAATCCAGAGGAGAGCAATGGTGACTTAGACAAGTGGGGAGGAGGTGGGGGGAGCAGAATGATGGGAAGTGTTGAAGAGAACACGCAGAATTTGCTGAGGGATTTAAAGCAGGGAAAAAACTGAGATTTAGGCCCCTGAGCAATGGAAAGATACAAAATTGCTACCTACTAAGACAGGAAATATGGCATAAAGAGCAAATTTAAAACATGTTTCCAGGCTTCTAATACCTAAACTGATTGTTTCATGTTCCTGTATTTTAATATTATTTAAAGTCTTTCTGCTGACATAATAAGTCACTGCATAATTTTAATCTGGAATGATAACTTCTCAAATTTTTATGTTTACTTCAAGATACCCACTAGTGAGAGGCATAAAGAGGTTTATTCTTCAGAGGCCCCACCAAAAGAGGGTTAGGAATATTTGTCACTGTTGCCATACATAGCACAGTGGGATGCAAAAGAGTCAGTACAGGGTTATCTGTATGATAAGAAGTGATTCCAACAGAAACACATCTACAACTACCATAAAAATCTCACAAAATAAAAAAGAGGAACTTACGTGAACTCCCCAGGGATGGCAGTGATAGCCAAGAACCCAAGAGTAACAATCTGAACATCAACAATATCTGGGTGCCAGGGATGAGGTTTTAACAGCTGAGAACCAAAAGCATGAAAACTGTGTTAGGAATATTAGTCTCTTTGCTCAAGAGACCAGTGCTACTCACAGAATTTCCTTTGTTAATGGATATTAAATGTTTCCAGTTGTTTGGGGTGTCTTAATCCTACACAGTCACAGATTTTTTCCCAAGTCATGCAGTATTAAATATTCTGTCTAGTATCAATATGTGAATTTCAAATACCAGTGTCCCATTAACCCGGAATTATTTTCTCATCAATGAAGTTTTTGGTGGCTTTATCTTTATGGAATCACAATGTGTAACAGATAACCAAGGTTCTCCTATATTACCATGGTGACTATCCCTATACAAGACACATAAGGAATTACCATCATTTAGAATAACTTAATTATTTCATTTTTGCTCTAACTAGCACCTTAAATCTTCAGTTACCAAGTCTTGCCTTACTTTTCTTCTCCAAGAGAGTGTATCCGTTACCATGTTCAGATTAGCATAGAATCTCCTTCTATTCCTTCATTTCCTCTCCTTCTTGAAGAATTTCTAAGTAAATGTTAGCAAAAAACTGTGTTTAAAAATTGTTTCTACATCAAAAATTCATGGTATTACAAACACTGGCATGAATATGAAAATCCATGTTCCAAAGGGTACTTAAAGAATATTGCTTTAGTTAATTATGTTGCCTGAGTTATGAAAAATAACCTGAGATGTCTTTCTCTGTGAGGAATTCTGTGCTCATAAATCTTAATCTTATTCTTCCTTTTCCTCTGTTCTAATTGTTTCAGTTATTTACTATGGATGTAAACACCTAAGTCAGTATATTTAAATAATCATACCCCTTACCTCTTTAGAGTTAAACTTATGGCATCCATATTTTTAATATTAAAAATTTGATTTGGGAACATTTGTATAATACACAGATCTACTATTCAACATGGACCTATTCATATCTGACAATTCATAAATTTAAAAATAACAATATACTAATTTCACAATGATAATCCAAATGCATTACCTCTCCAGTATGAAGAAGGACTGGCTTTGGTTTATGGCATTCTTTGATTTCTTCAGATGGCTTGCCCAGAACCTGGTCCCGAAGAGTGTCCCAAAATGAATCCCCTTCCATCATCCCTATTAAGAATGCTATGATTAGTATGATTGCAACGCTCTGAAAAATGCCATCATTTTGACAAATGTTGTACAGCAATGCTTTTAGAACTTTGAGAGGTTTTATTAAGATTGCTGTTCAACGATTTCAAACAGTTTGCATAGTAGAAGGGGTAAAATTTCCTGTACATATTAAGATAGGAGCCATTATTTAATTAGACCCTCAGTGTGGTTGATAGAGTAAAAGAATGTCTGTGTTCTACATCTTTCAGGTTTTGTTTTTACTGCTCTTCCTCAACCATGTTGCCAATTTTAAAAATATGATATAATTAAATGCAGGTCAATGAGCTGAATTATCTTTCTCCTATTTTCAAAGCTATAAAAGATATATCCAGTTTGAAGTACCAGTTGTTTAACTTGTGGTCTCTAAAGACCCTCTCTTTATCTCCACTTAATTATGTGTATACACACACACACGAGCCATTAAAAACCACCAAGCCTAACACCCATAATCTAGGAAAAAGCTATGTTAACTATAAAACCTAAGAACATAGAATATATAATCAGGAAAATATAATTACTATGAACATATTTGGACCTACTTACAGAGCACACATGGGACTCTCAAAGAACTCTTCTAGCTCAATAATAAAAAGACAAATAGACCAATTTAAAAATAAGAAAAATATATAAAGAGATATTTCTTCAACGAAGACACAATAATGGCCAAAAAACAAAAGATGCTCAATATCCCAGGAAAATGCAAATCAAAACCATAATGAGATACCACTCCACACCCCAGGAGTAGCTAGAATCAAAAAAAGGAAGATAAAAACAAGTGTTGGTGAGGATGTGAAAAAATTAGAATCTTCAGAGAGAAACTGATGAGAACATAAAATTGTACAATGATTTGAAAATACTCTGGTAGTTCCTCAAATGATTAAACATAGAATTTTACCATGTGATCCAGCAATTCCACTTTCAGGCATGTACCAAAGAAATGAACTCATATGCTCACACAAAAGCCTGGACATGAATATTTATAACAGCATTATTCCTAACGGCCCAAAACAGAAACTACTCAAATGTCCATCAGCTGAGAAATGCATAAATAAAATCTGACAAAACCATACAGTGAAATATTATTCAGTCACAATATGCCATAAACGAACTTATCTACAAAATAGACTCACAGATATAGAGAACAGACGTGATTGCCAAGGGGGAGGGCTGGATTGGGAGCTTGGGATTAGCAGATGCAACTAGTATATAGAGAATGGATAAAAAACAAGATTCTACTGTATAACATAGGAAACTATATTGAATATCCTGTAATAAATCACAAGGGAAAAGAAAATGGAAAAGAATATACATATACATATACACACACACACACATTATATATATACAGATTTTGTGTATAACAATCACTTTGCTGTCCAGCAGAAATTAACACTACACTGAAATCAACTCCACCTCAATAAAACAATTTTTAAAAAGAAAAAAAGCCATGAAATTATTTTAGAATCCATGTTACAACATGGATGAACCTTGAAAACATGATGCTAAGTGAAAGAAGCCAACACAAAAAGCCACATATTTTTATGATTCCATTTATACGAAACATCCAGAAGAGGTAAATATAGAGATAGAGTTTAGTGGTTTCTTAGGTCTGGAAGAGATGGGGACTGGGCTGTGATAGCTAAAATGTACAGGGTTTCTCTTTGAGGTGATGACAGTGTTCTAAAATTGATAGCAGTGATGGTTGCATATATCTATGAATACATTAAAAACCATTGAATTTTATGTTCTGTGAATTATGTCTCAATAAAGCTAACAAAAATTATTTTAGAACATTAGACCAAGCTAGATGAAATACTGCCAGGAAAGATGATGCCAACTGTATCATGTTACAAGTGTATTTATTTTTCAACTAATGGTTCCAAAATATACATGAAATAAGCCAAAATATTGCCTGTTGTTGCTACTCTTCAATTTGTTTAACTTTGTGTACTTTCCAATGCATGTTATCACAGTGATAATCAGGATAAAGTATAAAATCTATAATAATCAGTTATAAATTCATGGAAATACACACAGGAAGAAGACCCAGGATCACAAACTGCATGCTCCTAAAATCTTCTGTTCTGAGGAATTTGGGCTCCAATAAAGAATTCCAGGAAAGAGACACTAATAACCAGACGGAAAGGCCAATTCATATTGTGGGTGTTAAAATGACACTCCTACTCTGCACCACTCCAAATCCATTCCTGCCCAATTTAAAACTATTCCTCCACAGGTTGAAATGCAGAGAGAATCTCTTCTATCTGAATCAGTGGAAAGCTAAATTATGAAAGATACCGACCGCTGAGAAATCATGTACAAATCTGGAAAGCGTACCTATCCCTAAATTTTAAAAATTAAAATAGTAAATGCACTGGCTACGTGAAACCCTGTTAGGGAACAGAATCCTGAAGTTCAGAATCTAGAATCATAAACCTGATCAGACTGCACCTCACCCTGAGTAAAATTGAGGGTTCCAAATCCGTCGATTGTGCCAGCTGCAAAGCTGTAGCCCAAGGCTGGTTTACATGTTTTTGCCTAAAGGAAAAAAAATGAAAACAAACAAAAGAAACAGAAGTTGAACTTCAACGATAAGATCAGCCCAGAGATTTGTCCTTGTGGCACATAATCAGTGTGACTCGGTGGTACTTACTGTGTGTGTTGAATTGAGCCAGACGGTGACATCCGTCATATTCACCCACTGATGAGCTGAAGCCAGTGGCCCAGTAACCTCCTGGGAGGCGGACTCATACAGTTCCTAGAAAACCCACACAGCCTTACCATGAAAAGCAAATGAGCTAAAATGAACACTATACTTTTACCCAACAAGTGCCAATTTGGAAAAGCATCTTTCAGTCAAGTTTTGTGGTGCTGGCTGATCAGCCAGAGCATTTTCTTTTCTTTTTTTTTTTTTCAAGTGATATAATTTTATTTATTTATTTTTTTTTATTTTTCCATTTATTTTTATTAGTTGGAGGCTAATTACTTTACATCATTGCAGTGGTTTTTGTCATACATTAAAATGAATTAGCCATGGATTTACATGTATTCCCCATCCCGGTCCCCCCTCCCACCTCCCTCTCCACCTCTGGGTCTTCCCAGTGCACCAGGCCCGAGAACTTGTCTCATGCACCCAACCTGGGCTGGTGATCTGTTTCACCCTAGATAATATACATGTTTCGATGCTGTTCTCTTGAAACATCCCACCGTCGCCTTCTTCCAGAGTCCACAAGTCTGTTCTATACATCTGAGTCTCTTTTTCTGTTTTGCATATAGGGTTATCGTTACCATCTTTCTAAATTCCATATATATGTGTTAGTATACTGTAATGGTCTTTATCTTTCTCAGCCAGAGCATTTTCAACTCTCCACCAAACCCACAGTGACTTCCCAGAAACCTGAAGGCCCTGAGACTGTGGACCTAGGTTTATTGCCTACAAATACGAAATTCCAGCAATGCAGGCTATGGCACAAGATGCTCCAACCTCACTGGAAAGATAGGAAATTTTAAGGTTAGGAGTGAAAGCTTTAGTTGCTCAGTCGTGTCCAACTCTGCAACCCCATGGACTGTAATATAGCCCGCCAGGCTCCTCTGTCCATGGGATTCTCCAGGCAATACTGGAAAGTGAAGTCTTAAGCATTGAAACACCAAGGAGGTCCCTGGCAATGTTTGTTTTTATTCATCTCTATCCTACAGTAGAGGAGGCAGACCCTGCTTCAGCACCAGTGTCCTTACCTAACATCTAACTCATTTTCATTCTATTGCCATCCCAGTTTTCACTGCCATGTGGGAACTCAAGAGATAAGTCAGAAACACCAGCTGCAGCCCACCTCCCCTGATTTCCTTGTGGTTGCTGTTGTTGAGTCTCCCAAGTCCTGTAGGACTGCCTCCCTGATTAAGAGGAAAGTTGTGCCTTGCTGAGAATGTGGGACCGATCTCTCTGTCTCTAGGCTCAGAATGGTAACAAAATTTCTGATGCCAAATTGTGTCACAGGTGTACACCCTAAATAGAATCTGTTAATTTAGAACAATCCGCTGATGATACCACAGTAATTAAAAAGAAACTGCAGCAATTAGGCTGGCTGGTGTCTTCTGTTTTTAAAGGTGCTTTTGTTCTTTCTTAATTGCTCCTGAAGCAGTTTAGAACCCTTGAGACACAATATTTACATAAACACACACACACACACACACACACACACACACACACACTCTGATGGGCATGCTCATTAAAGGTATGGGTAAGCTATAAAAAGAAAGAGATTTAACTATCTTTATTAGAGATGGTTAAGCTCAAAGCTATCCTTTTGTCTTTTCCACTGGAAACGTCTTCATCGGAGCTGATACAAAAATCTGTGAGCAAACTAGAAGGTAAAATTTAGGAGAGGAAGGAGGGTAGAGTAACTGGCAGTAAGCTCTCTGGAAACCAGATTCTCTCTTCATCAAAAGATCTTTTAAAAAAGAAAGAAAACATAAGATGGATGATCTTTGCCATATCAAAAAAGACCAGGGACTAATCTGAATGCAAACTGCAAGAACTGGGAATTGTGCCACTCAGCTTTACCTTGTCCCCAAAGAAAAATAGGAAATGGTCAGGGGACTTGGCAGGCAAAGGCCCCAGAAACTTCTGAGAATTTGGGTCATATCTGATACCATGTTATTTGAAAACTACAATCTATCATCTAACTGCCTGAAGCAAGCACTCTGGCTGAAAGAATGTTTTCCTGATTACTTGCTTTTAAATGTACTTACTTCCTGTAGGAAATCAGTCACAAGCAGTCAGAGAGATGCTCCTGTGCGGTATATGAAACAACCTTCCTGATTGACAATAAACAGCATTCATACCTTCAGACTCGGTGCAGCTTGAGCTCTTGCTGTCTTCCTTACAAAGACCAACTTCCTAATGAAAAATATCAGTGGATTTTAAAGTATAGTTTTGAATGAAGATAAAAGCAGCAGGGCCCGCAGCTTACCTTTGCTTTGTCATATATTATCCGTCCTATGATTTGTGTACTTTCAAACATATCCTGCCCAGGGCCCACAGCAACACACATGCTAGGCTGGAACAAAATGACGCAAGATATGTTCTTAGTGGAATAAGTGATTTTTTCAAAGGATGGAAAATGATAAGCGAATCTGAGCAAACAGACTTTCTTTTTGGCTATGTGGCCTGTCAGACCTTTGTTCCCCAACCAGTCAGGGACTGAACCCAAGTTCCCTGCATAGGAAACAGAGTTTTAATCACTGGAACACTAGGGAAGTCCCAGCAAAGAGATTTTTTTTAAGGCCACATTCCAGCCTCTCTTTCCAGATGTTCTCCCAATTTACAGATTATGAAAAACAAAATCATCCTGGAATTGGAGCCATGAATATTGCTAGAATTCATCTATTTTAACATAAGACATAAAATTGATGCATAATATTCTATTGCAAATACATATCATAATTTATTTAACCATTTCATGTATGAATTTTGGAATTTACCAAATAATCATCTACTCCAATGTGAATTAATAATGTGTAAAAATTTTGCAAATGAAGGGTAACAAAGACTTTTTTTCACTGAATTATAATTGATTAAAAATGTTGTATTAGTTTCTGGTGTAGGAAGACTTTCGTTTTTCTTTTTAAAAAATTGGGGTATCATTGCTTTACAATAGGAAGACTTTCTATATAAAAATAGTAAAGTATAAGAGAAGTATACTTGTTAAAAATATATTTCTCATTGGGTGGATGGACTTGACTGGGATAAAATAAATAGCCCAAACATGGTGTTTAATAAAAGCAATATTACAGGTGAAATATTCTATAAACACAAAGAATAAGAACCAGAAGCTAGCACCTGCTGCTCATGTCAAAGGTGAAAAATCTAAATGCAGATGAGGGGAAGCAGTTAAATAAACAATGGTACAGCCTCACTTGTTGAGTGTAAAGCTTACTACACAGAACTATCTAGAGGGATAAAGAGATTTTTTATAGACAAATTAGGTAGAAAACCCAAATCCTGGACACAAAAAAACAAAACCTCAACAAATAAGTTATAAATTGTTGTTCATGGATGCACACATGTAGGAAGAGGTGTGATAGTGGTAATTTGGGGGAAAAGGAGCAGGTGGAGGGGAGGAAGGTAAGCAGGGACTTTCACTTTTTACTGCTCTTTAAGATTTCCATGTGGTTTGAATTTTTGTGGTGGTATTGGTGTAGTTGCTAAGTCATGTCTGACTCTTGCAACTCATGGACTGTAGCCTGCCAGGCTCCTCTGTTCATGGGATTCTTTAGGCAAGAATACTGGAGTGGGTTGCCATTTCCTTCTCCAGGAGATCTTCCTGACCCAGAAATTGAAACTGGGTCTCCTGCACTGCAGGCAGATTCTTTACCAACTGAGCTACAAGGGAAGCCTCAAGTTTTTACAGCAATACTTTTTTTGTTGTTTTGTAATTTATAAGAAAAAGAATTTTGATGTTACATTTTTAGAAAAACCCTAAAGATGTGATAATCAGAGAGAAATGTCTCAGGCAGGCAGTTTTTGTACTAAATTGTGACTTCAGAAATGCCAAGGCAAAATGTATCAAGCTGTCCAAGTTTAGGAAAGGATATTTTCTGTGACATTTACTAAATTGTCTTACCATTCAAAAAATATAAGCATCAAATGGAAAACTATAATTTTACCCAATCAAAATTTAGTGGGTGCTCTTGAGAAGAGCAAATGCTAGCAGTAAGTAGGCCAGAGTATACTTGAGGAGAACATAATTGTAAATTAACAGTGAGTACTTAAACATAAAACGTCCATGAGATGCAAAAACAAAGATTTAATGTCATCATTACCTACCCCTCCAATGGGACAAGAGCTATTGGCGTTTTCACAAGACTCTCCCGTGTTGGTGCAATGTGGGCCAAGAACATTGGGGGAAACATCTCCGAGATTTGATGAAGCAAAAGCTGCTACATACGGTCCCTGCCAAAAGAAACATCCAATTGCCTTGTATGCTTTCTTATTTACTACAACGAGTTCCATTAAAAAGGCAGACATTCAACCCACTCTGGTGAACTATTCAAAATCATTTGCATAGGATAAAAGGAGGATATTTCTCAGGTACAATATTCTGAGAAAGATTTTTGTTTCTGTAAAGACTCACATTCCAGTCAACATATAAATTATTACTCTTAATATTCCAATTATCAATGAAACTATTTTAAGTAAGAGTTACCAATTTGTGTCTCAAACAGCAACATTTTGACAAGAAATACAATGTGCAACAAGTTATAAAATGCTGACCCATAATCTCATGTTTGGTGTTGTACCTGGAACTCAGAGAGCCATTTTTCCTTTAAAAATAAATAGCCTATTGGCTTAAAAAGTAAACAGTCAATCTGGATATTTCTGTTGTACAACTGAACCTAAATATAGCATCCACCATCCAGACTTGCCCTCCACATATCTTTTCTCTATCTCTTCAACCAGAAATAACTATGCAAAATCTTTTTTCAGTAGGGCAAGACCTTAATCTCAACCTAACTGGTCTACCATTTTACCTTAAGTGTCTTAAATTTACCTAAGGAAAGAGATAATCAAGCATAGGAGACTATGTGTCATTTCTTAGACTAAAAAAAATAATGGGAAATTCCTTCCTTGTTCCTAAAAAACAGGCTAAAATGAAAAAACAAATAGAAGATTGTCAATTAAGGAGCTAAAAAGTCAAGCCAAATGTTCACAGGGCTAATACTGTTGTTAACAGAACACTTAGTCTAGTCTAGGACCGGGGGTTCTCATCTCGTCATATATCCTGCTGCATTTCAGGTTTGGATGCTGTGGTCAAGCAGAGCAGGGTCCTTCCTCACCACTTACCTATCAGCAGTCCATAATCTACACAGAGCTGATGAGCTTCCTAAAGTACACGGACTAGATTCCGGGACCCCCCAGCTCTGATCCCATCACTCACTGCATTTCAAATACCAGTCTAATGGATTAGGGTTGTCTCTGACTTAGGCCATGTTGCAGGAAAGTAGAACAAAGTCTTTCAAAGGAAATTAAGAGGGAAGTCTGGACCAGAGAAAAGAACTCATTCCCTGTCCTCATTTGGATTCCTACAACATTAACAAGGTGCTTAATAATTTTATATCTCTGAAAACAAAAGTAAACATCAACAGTTTCTCATATCTCCAAGTTGATCAAAAACTATTATATGTTGCAAAAATCTTTAATTTGTTTTTCCTAATCCAACTAACTGAAACTTTATGAAGTCATCAATATAAGTATTTGACACAAAGTCAATAATCATTTAAATTTTTTTCTTTCCTGATAATAGAGGGTGGAGAATTCTTCCTATCCAAGCACATCAGTATGTGATATCCATGATGACATTTTCCTCTGAAGATCTGAATCAGCTATTCTGAACACTGCATGAATGATGATACTCAGTGATTAAGATGAAGCTTTCAGTGACATAAATTCTCACCTCTCCAGGTAGATAACCTTTGTTCTTCTCTTGTTCAAAAAGGTAAGATGCATAGCCTACGTTGTCACTATTTACAAGATGATTGGTGTTTTTCATGCTGACTGGGTGGATGGCAAACCAGCTATAAAAGAGCAAGAAGACCTAAGTTAATGATGAGAACCAAATAAATGGAGTCACAAATGATATCTGGGAGCTTAAGTTTCCACTAGCAGGGAAAAAAAAATTGCTTTTGACAATAGGCATTCTTTCATTGCTAACTAACTTAAATTACAAATAATATACTCAAGAAGTCTGATCACTTAAATTAACAATGCCAAATTATTGTTACAAATATTCCATTACTGTCATCTTCATTGTAAGCTTTTAACTAGAGCCAATACTGGTTAGTTAACAGACAATATACCTACAGAATTGTATCAACATAGACTTTGTCCTTCAAGCAGGTAATACATAATAACTATTTGAATCAATCCAATCCAATTCAATGGACATTTACCGAGAGTCTGCAGTATACCAAGCACTGAATCAGTCACAGTTTACTTTAGAATCTTGCAGAGGACAAAGATGTGAACAAATGGCCTTGATACAGTGTGACAAATGCTATAAATAAGGAGTCATAAAGTGTTTGGGGACCACAGAGGACTAGCAATTAATTCTTAAAGGCATTCCAGGGAGAAAGAACAGCAGAATAAATGCACAGGGGTATGCAAGAGGATGCTATGCCTTATTCAATATACCCTTATACATGGTAATACCTTGTTTAATTGTAAAGCTACAGAGTTTACAAGTTAATTTCACATCTGTTACCTCATTTTAACTTCACAGCAACCCTGAGAGTTAGGCTTTTACTACCTGCACGGTACAAGGTATCTCAAAGAAGCAATCTGGTGGCCCACTTGTCACAGAGGACCAAGGCTAAAGTTTGGGTCTTGTGACACCTTGTCCAGTGGCTTTCAGAGGATCAAACCTCCACACAGGTGAAAAAGGTGTTTACAGGATAGAAGGCTATAAAGCAGACTATCAGGAATACTCAAGAAAAGAGAGATTCCAATTCATAAATTTTCAAGCTAATTTAGGATTTTTTAAAAATCTTTTGATTTTTCTTCACAAAAAGCTTTTTTATTTTTTTTTCCCCTTGGGCTCCAAAATCACTGCAGATGGTGACTGCAGCCCTGGAATTATTATTTTTTTCCATTTATTTCTGTTAGTTGGAGGCTAATTACTTTACAATATTGTTAGTGGGTTTTGCCATACATTGACATGATTCATGACAAAAAAGCTTTTTTAATATTTTTACCCAAGTAATATGGTGCACAAAACTGAGCATTCAATAGCTCATTCAATATACATGTAGTTAACTCTGGCTCTGTGCCAGACACTGGGGACATAGAGATGAATGAAGCATCACCTCACCCTTGAAAAATGCTTCACCCTTGAAAAATGTGACATCTGAGCTGGGTCTTAAAAGATGAGTAGGAACTTGGCAGGGGAATGACTAGAGAAAAGTCATCTGCAGCAAAGGTATGGAGATAGGAAGGAAATGATGCAGTGTGTTCAGAGACTGGATAGTCAGAGTGACCAGGGTAGAAAGGATGAGGGGAAGGAGAGAGGCCAGTTGCTCTTTTCATTCAATCAAGATGAATGCATTAGTAGTGTGTGGTTGGCATTATGTTAAACCTCAACACTAGAGTCAGGTATGTTCTCTGCCATCAAGGAACCATAATAATATCTGGGGAGAAAGCAAAAGCAAAAATTTTTCGTCTACTAATTACACTGTAAACTTGAATTATTTATTTTCATTTACTTTAGGCCTTAGAAAATGGATTGAACTTTTCTCTACCAAACTGAAAAAAATAGTAATCAGAAAAGTTATTTGCATTTCAGAATAGGAAGATGCTGTATCTTTCCTCCTCTGCCCTTTAAAATATATGCTATAAAAATATCAGGCTTGTTAAAGCAAACAAAGTGCTTTGGTAAGAGATGAATATTTAAAAAGATATGCAGAAAAGTGGTCATTTTAATTTTAAAAACACTTACTGTTTATTTTATCTGGTCAAAAAATATTCATCTACATAAAGTTCAAAAGAGAGGAAGAAAGGTTTAGGTAGTTTCAAAAGAAGTGGGAATACAGCCATAAAAAGATGTCGATGTCCTTGATAATAAACATTTCAAAACAATGACTTTAAAATAATGTCACAGCTAGAGCAAGACTCTACTTGATTCATCATGATGCAATCCTGGTACTGAGGAAAGTCGGGAGATTTGAGATCTAATCATTGTTAGTAGCAAAGTTAGTTCAAATTTCTAAAAAACTTCTGAAAAATAAATTTCAATCAAGCTCAATGGTAAAGAATCTGCCTGCCATTGCAGGAGACTCAGGAGACAGGGGTTTGATCCTTGTGTCAGGAAGAATCCTGGAGAAGGAACTGGCAACCCACTCCAGTATTCTTGCCTGGAAAATCCCATTAAGCCTGGCAGGCTACAGTCCATAGTGTTGCAAAGAATCATACACAACTGAACACACTCACATATACACAGTGAATCAACAAACTGCAGGTTAAAACAGAATAATTATTCTCTCCTCCTGTGTAACTGAGGTATTTCTAGTGTCTCTTTCAATTCAGACATTGTGTATTTCCTGTTGTGAAACAGAAAAGCCAAATGCAGAATTGAGCTATTTAAACATTCTGAAAAAGTAATAACCCATCCCAGGTTCTATTCTCTCAGATCTGAGCTGCCCTCTTCACATGGAAGCCAAGGTCTGAACAAAGGTGACTGGCAAAGGGGTAAGTAAAGGCTGAAATCCGGCTCCCACTCAGCTCCCCAAGGGAAGCACACCTCCATCAGCCCAGAGAAGGCAGCATCTTTATGTGCTTTGCAGCAAGTCCTACGTGCCAGGAATGGCCATCTCCAACCTAAATGTCCACCAAAGAGGAGAACGAGAATATTGTACCTCCATTCAAAGGCAGTGTTCATGAAAATGTGTAACAACATGGGAGATCTTTGGACAAATACAATATAGGACACTGTTCAGTTCAGTCGCTCAGTCGTGTCTGACTCTTTGCGACCCCATAAACTGCAGCACGCCAGGCCTCCCTGTCCATCACCAACTGTCAGAGTCTACCCAAACCCATGTCCATTGAGTCAGTGATGCCATCCAACCATCTCATCCTCTGTCATCCCCTTCTCCTCCCGCTCTCAATCTTTCCCAGCATTAGGGTCTTTTCCAATGAATCAATCCTTTGCATCAGGTGGCCAGAGTATTGGAGTTTCAGCTTCAGCATCAGTCCTTCCAATGAACACCCAGGACTGGTCTCCTTTAGGATGGACTTGTTGGATCTCCTTGCAGTCCAAGGGACTCTCAAGAGTCTCCTCCAACACCACAGTTTAAAAGCATCAATTCTTTGGTGCTCAGCTTTCTTTATAGTCCAACTCTTACATCCATACATGACTACTGAAAAAACCATAGCCTTGATTAGATGGACCTTTGTTGGCAAAGTAATGTCTCTGCTTTTTAATATGCTGTCTAGGTTGGTCATAACTTTCCTTCCAAGGAGTAAGCATCTTTTAATTTCATGGCTGCAATCACCATCTGCAGTGATCTTGGAGCCCAAAAAAATAAAGTCAGCCACTGTTTCCACTGTTCCCTCATCTATTTGCCATGAAGTGATGGGACCGGATGCCATGATCTTAGTTTTCTGAATGTTGAGCTTTAAGCCAACTTTTTCACTCTCCTCTTTCGCTTTCATCAAGAGGCTCTTTAGTTCTTCTTCACTTTATGCCATAATGGTGGTATCATCTGGACTCAAAAGTGTTGCCCCCAAAATTCAGGCCCAGCAGAACCTCAGAATGGGATCTTATTTGGAAACAGAATTTTTAGAGATATAAACAAGGTAAAATCATACTATCTTTGGTTGGGTCTTAAGTCCAATGACTGGTGCCCTCATAACAAGACAGAGAGATACCCAGAAATGGGGATGTAGGAAATGTGAAGATGGAGGCACAAACTGGAGTGATATATCTACAAGCCAAGGATAGGATTGCTAGCAGTCACCAGAAGCTAAGAGAAAGGCATGGAACTGATTCTTCCTCAGAGCCTCCAGAAATAACCAACCTTACTGTTAGATAGGAAGTTAGGCATGAGCAACCAGGAGTGTCCCAGATAAAAAGGATGCAGGTTGATCTCTAAGCCCCATCCCAGACGCATCCAGGAGGGCTCATAGATATACTACAAAAATGACCACAGAGACTTTTCCAACTCCTGCACAGGTGCCCTCTGCACACAGTGGATACAGACTAACCTCAGGGACTTCCTCAAGTAACCTTAGACATCTGGGAGTCTATTAAGGATTCATAAATATTCTACATATGTCTATGTCTGATTATAACAGACTGAATTACGGGAAGACATGTGCAACAAAGCCTGGTGTTATATAAGTTGCAACTGTCAATCAACCTTGAGTATATGCCCATTTGCATTTCCTTTCCTTATTGGTGGTAGATACAAGCCCTATTTTGCATAGGGCACCACCAAAAGGAGGAAGAGATGGGAAGTATAAAAAGGGGAAGTCAAGAGGGATTGTTACAATTCCTATGTCTTGGGAGTGTCTGTTTAATAAAAGATCTGTCTGCCTGAGCTGTAATTTGTCTGTTGTTTTAAACTCTTTAGTCCGCCGTTCCAAATCTTTGTAGCAATGAGACAAGAACTGAGGGAGAGAAATAAACTAACCTGACACTGCCAAGACCCTGACTTCAGACTTCTGGCACTTCTTGATCTGTGACAGAACAAATTTATGCTGTTTTAAACCTGCAGGTCTCTAGTGATTTGTTATGAAAACCCTAAGAAACTAACACAGAAACCATACATTTTAGTGGCTTAGAGCTCTGGCGTTGGACTTAAGTTATTATACCTAACCTATTTGAACTCAATGTCCATATCTGTAACATGATAGGTAGTATCTACCACATGGCATTTGACAATTAAGAGAACAAATATATCTGAAGTGTTTAGCACATAGACTGGTCTATGCTAAGAATGGAATAAATCACCACTGTGATGATGCTATGCTGATTTTGATACTGCTGCTGCTGCAGTAATGATGATGATTGAAAGCAAAAAAC